TTTGGAACAAAAAAACTTTCCCCAAGCAAGATTTCAAACTTCGATTTAATTATCAGTAAAGATAAAATTTCTCTAAATATATACGTAAAGTACATTTTATCAAAATAGACGATATATGATGCGTCACACGAAATTCAAGACTATGATAAACTATTCAAATCCACACACTTCACATATCGGACCCTTGTAAACTACTTGATTCAAATCAGAAACGAGATATTAGTGTTTCTCGTAGTTTGTAGATATATTTCTGTAGTCGTTTGTACCATATGTCCACCACTGAAACAAATAGAAGTAAGTTCACCATATATATTTAGATTGAATTGCAGTAGCCATATAAAAAGCAAACACGTGCATTGTATTTACTACTACTGTAATTATAGTTATATACCCTCATGATTTTAGTATTGTAAAACAGGAAGCACGGGCAAAAGAGCGAAAGTTAAGTGTTCGTTTGACTAAAAATAGGAAGTCGTGGTGAAATGGAGAATCTTGCTTAACATTCCAGACTTACTGCTCTTAGCAGTAGTAATCATGTAATACAATTTGAGATTACATGGGTTTAGTGAACCCATTTTTTGAACTTATGTATTTTTTTATATAATGGCATGAATCACTTTGTTCTTTATATAACCCCATGGTCTTTATTCTTTACTACATCAGATCACAAATTTGAGATTCTTTATCTTTTTTTTTGTCTCTAGTTTTAATTTTGGTGTCTCTTCTTCAGGTAAATTCTTTAACCCCTTTATCTTTTTTTTTTCTCTCTTTCTTTAGTGTGTGTAGATAATGAGTAGCTAATGTTTGTTTCGAATAGTAACTCCATATTTATCTGACCAAAAACTTGGGACAATTTACACTATATATTGGAAAAAAGCAAAAATGTTTTCATGTATTTTTCACAAATATTTATTTTTTTGGCTAAAGTATATTTCATATTTCTAGTGTATTTATTCAAGTAACAAAATAAAAAGGGTCCACAAGAATAAATGACGTTAGGTCGATGGTCCAAAATTGTTCACAAATTTCAAGATGTTCGTATTTACTCGTTCTACTTTTAGATTATGGACTCTTTAATTTTGGTATATATTTCTATGTTCTATATTTATCGCTGCTTATTTGTTTTTTTTTTCTTTCTATTTATCAATTTTGTTTTAATTGTATGTACAGGCCTTTAAAGATTTATTCCGGTTCAAGTGGAATTCAAACCCTTTTCTATATGTTAAAACTTAATAGTAAGTTATAATATAAATCTAAATCGTAATCCTGTTATTTTTTAAGTGACAAGCGTGCAAAGGCAATCCGTTTATTTCTTTTTTAAGATGGAACCATCAATTTTTGGTCAACCAAAGCTTGCATCCTTCAAAAATAATAATAACTTCTTTTAAGATGCCAACTTTCTTCTAACAATCTTTATCACGGAAATTCAAATAAATTTGTTATAAGTTCTTGTATGTATAATTAAGGTTTTCAATCATTTTATGCTTTATTAATCAAAATATTCAAGTCACAATCACCCTTGACAAGAAATGATGAATTCATTTTGGGGTTGGTTAGAATAAAATTATGATAGCAACATCATTAATCAGCCATATCTCTATTAGATTAAAAAGGCATTGATTATATCTCTTAGTTTCTAACTATAAGCTTTTATACGCTCATTGCATATAAAACGAAGAAAAAAGATAAGCCCACCCATATATCTCTACGTATTTATCATCATTCTTTGTAAAATAGGATTTTGTTTATTATATGCTATTGATCATAGTTCATCTATATGGCTCTGCAATTTTGTTCTTTGTAAGTTTCATCATTATACATACCGCAACAAGCATTTAACTTGAAAGCAACAAGAAAAAAAAATGAATCTTAAATTTCACATTTTATTCATAGTCTTCCACATTTTTTGCATGTGTTACTGTCCTTGCTTTACTCACACACCATTTCGATTAATCTCAAAGTTTAGGAAATAACACATTTGATCCATTTTTGTCTATGTATCACGATAATTCATATGATTATTCACTTTTATAATAAAATATTCCCCAGTCGACCTCTGAATTTGATTACAAAACTTCTCCAATAAGATAAATATGTCAAATTTGTAACCATCCTATCGTTTTAAATTAAGCAACCTTGCTTCGAATCTAGAGTGAAATACGTGGAAGCCAGAAAAAAGCTAGAATAAATATGCCTTAACTTCATGGTCACCAATACATACAGATACAAATATTCATATATTTTTTGACATATGTATACAGTGCACATCTTATAGTATGTTATTAATACATATACAAATTTATAAGCGCACACATTTAATTATTTTTTTTATATTTATTTTGGTATGATACACACATTTAATTATGTATACTATAAACGGTGTAACAGACGAACTGGGGACCAATTCATGGACCAGCCCATAGCCCATATTCTGTAAATTATTTTTGAAAAATGGTTTGTGTTCATGGTGTATCACGTATATAGTTGAGGAATACTGGTTATTTTTCTTGATAAAGACAACAGTATTTACTTATACTATTTTGTTGTTATTTATGATTTATTTTATCCTTTGTTTCATTTTGAAAACATCAAAAGAGCACAACACGAAATCAATACACAACAATAGGACAAATTTACATATAAAAAAAAAGAAAAACATTCTGAGAATTGTTGCTGGCTAATGTTTTTCTTAAAAGAAAATCATTTTCCCTTACTATCGCGACAAACTTTCCAACAAAGCAAATGCACGAGTTCTGGATTTTTTTAACACTATTATGGATTTTACGTGCAATCAGTTTACTGACATCTGAATTCTCCTCATTCATATATTATTATTTATATGTTTGATTCACTTTTTTGTGTTGGAAAATAAATATTCTCAAGGTACAGTTATATGGCAGATGAAATGGACGTAGCGTGTAAGAAAATACAAACTCGTACCTTATATATATAATTTTCTAAACTAAAGGATAAAGCTGAATCAACACTATATAATAATCGAAGACATATCCATCACTGCCACGACATATCCATCACTCACCTTACTTGGATTTTTTTTATTTACAACATGATAGAGTACATAATCATACGAAACAGTACTCGAAACATAAAATAACAATGCTAAGTTGCTAACCAATAACCATACATGGCCTATACTTTTCGTGCAGGCCCATTTTGAAAACCACACCAACACAAGACTGTCTCTAAACGACGCAGTTTTAGATCTACTTAAGATTTACGAAGATGGAATCAAAGAAGAAAAGGCAATCTTCAATGTCTGGTTAGAACTTAGAAGAAAAGACAAAGGTTGTGGGAAACAAGAGAACCTTTGAGCCAACAAGTTTAAAAACTCAACAGAGAAAATCAAATTTTTGTTTTTGTCAAATACAAACAGTTTATTAAGACAATCCAAGAAATCTAGTCGCCGAGAAGAAGCCTTGTCTTCATCTTGTGCCACACAGTTTCGACCATCTGCAATCAGACAACAACTGTTTAGTGTAAAGAGATCTGATACAAAACGACACTTTACAACACATCGCATTTAACACACCAAAACACCAACAGTTGCCTATGCTCTTACCACCAAAATTTAAGTTTTCAGTTAAATTTTGAAATTGTTATGATTGTCTACTCAACCTAACTCCTAATTTTTCCTTCAGCCTTGCTTATAATAAGCTAACATAAATTCTGCAATAAAAGCAAAATAACAAGGGAGCACTAAAATTTGATCTAAAGAACTTCCTTCAGGAATTAAAATTGCTTAAACCAACTACGAGAGATGATAAATCTTTCAACAATGTTTGATCAGATTGAAGACAGAATCGTTAACTTAAGCTGGTGTTAACTAATGCCAAATATTAGAGACAGCCAATGGAAAACAAAATAGGATCACTTTGCAAACACATATCACAATGTTTCTAGATTCAAACGAGTTAAGCAAAACAACAAATGAAATCATTTTTATTTTTTTGGCTTCTCTTCAAAATTCAACAAACATAGCAGAAAAGTCATGTTTTGGTAAGAAATATTAAGCTGACCAATCGCAAAGATCAATTTGATAGTCTAATTCAAACTAAGCCTAGACATTTCCGATCAAACGAAGAATTAGTCCACATGATGAATCATTAATCAACGATTTTTTACCTGATTTTTGAAGAAGATCGATGCTCTTCAGTGAGACGGAGCAGGCTGATTCTGGTGTTGGTGAGATGATTTGGAAGGGAGCGAAGCTTTGCTGTAGATCTGCTCACCGACGAGGTAGACGCAGAAGGCGGCAACGCCGATGCCAAGCCCAGGAAGAGCATGTCTCATTTGGTTCGAAAGCATCGGATGCTTCCTCTACTCATCTCTTCGCCGGAAAAACTCGCCGGTAGTTCCCAAAGGCTTCGCCATTTTCTCCGGTAAATTCGATTTATCTTTTGCGTCAGTTACGAATTTTAACAATACTCTTCTCTCTTATTTCGAATCATGGGCTATTGGGCTTCTTCAATGTATGGGCTTTATCTATATCTATTAGGCTTTTTTATTTCGCACCAGGGAATAAATAGAGGGTCCCATAAATAGATGATAAACTTCCTCTCTGTTCACTTGAACATGTCAATCGCAACAAAAATCAAGCAGCTGATGTATTATCAAAAGTATGTTTATGAAGCGAATTATTCTTGTAAATTTTGTTTTCGGTTCCACCTATATGGTGTTTAAACTATTTGTATCCACCTAACACTATTTAACAGAATCAGATGTTACAAAAAAAAAAGCCGAACAATGTCGGATCTTAAACCGAACGAAGTCAGAATTATAATCCGCAAGTTTTATTCGTTCTAAATCAAACAAAAACAAAGATAGAAAACGAAAATAACAATCCGATTTTCTTCATTTATAAGTAATTAATATAATACAGTAAAACGAACGAATCAGACTATGGTGACTTTTCTGAACAATGACCTTGAGACAATGAGAAGAGTTCTTGGCACTTCTTTTCGTCTTCTACTGTAACTTTCTTACTTCCTTGGTTTAGCACATCCACTGAACAACGAAAATCTTCTCTTTCGACTTCTTCGTGATCGCACAGAAGTCCCTTTGATCTATAAACAAGTAATCAAAAACGTCAAAAAAAATGAAAAGAGAATTAGATTTTGCGTTTTGTTTCATTTCACCATTAAAATTAACATTTCCTCGATGAGCTAAACTCACCTTGCTTCTTCTTGGAGACTTTTGTGTGTTCCAACAGAAAAGCAGACTGCAAACTCCTCTCCCAGTTCCTGATTCATATTCTCTACACAAAACCAAACCAAACCAAACATTAGTTTGTCATGAAGATCTGATTCTGTTTTTTCATTTCATTAAATCAAAAGATTACTTACAAATTGTCTTTGTTGTTTGTCAAGTTACTACCATGGAGCAAACTCGGTGAAACAGGACAATGCTCCATTCTTTTACCACTCTGAATCTCCTGAAACTCACCCATTTCACAAATCTTCATAACTTTAACTCCATTGTTTAGTCCAGCAGAAACAGCAGAACCAATGTTGGGTTGGTGATGATGATGATGATTAATGTCTTCTTGAGGCAAAACTTGATTCCTTTCGGGTTTTAACCGGCCCTGTGAACCAGGAGTCCTCTGTAACCACTCGGCTTCTAATCTCTGTTCTTGGATGATCGATTGTATCCTACTCATTGGAATCTCATGCCCACTTTCAGTATCTGAACTACTTGTCACTACTGCTGCTGCTGCTGCTGCTGTTTGTCTGGTCTGACTGGAGTTCAGGAACTCATTTTCAGACAAGAGGATTATCCTGACCTCTACGTTTCGCCGCAGCACCATTTCAATCGAGTTTGTGATACTGCTTAAAAACCTCTCAGCTCTCAGTTTGATCTCTTTTTCTCCAAATGCAATATAAGCAATTAGAATACCTGCAAACAGAGAAGATATTAGTAAATCAATTGCTTGGAAAATTCCTTCAAATTTAGAAGTTTCAGGCTCACCTTCAACTTCACTGATGGATAATAGCTTCCCATGAGAATAGAGCAGCTGCTTCAATGTCTTTGAGTGGCACCTATCTATACACTTTGTCCATATATCATATAGTTTCTCTGAATTCTTGCAAGTAAGCGTCATGGTGCTTGCAGCTGTATCATCACGCGAGGAAACGGAAGCGCCATTCTCTAAGACTTCGCTGGACGAGGAGGACGATTTCACTTCACGAACAATATTTCCGCCTTTTCTCGTGGAAGTTGGGGATGGTGAGTTACTACATTGAAGGCCTGATCTCTGTTTATAAGCAATCACTTCTCTTGAAACGCTTGACAGGTTTTCTTCAGTTGCTCTAGAGCTTTGCCTTCTACTGCTACCGGTATGTGTGGTTCCGGGAGAAGACATCAAACCAAGCTGTAGCAAAGTAGCTATGAACCATGTTGAACGATCAGTACTAACTCTAAGCTGCTTCTCTGCCTCAGAAAGAATCTTCAAAGCATGCTTTAGCCTCTCCATATCCGCTTCACTCACTAAAATTTGTATAAAAACCATTCTTAGAGCAAGAGAAGCTAAAAAAGAGATCTGTGCACTTGAATTCAAGATTATTAGAACTAAAAAAACTCACAGTTCCGTCCATGAAGGAAGGCGTCGCTGTATTTTTCGTCCAAGGCCTTGTATGCTCCAGCAATGATGTCCATGATAAGACTTGCCAGCTGAGACATCATGGCTATTGGGTCAGCTCCTAAGTCAAGTAACTCTCTAGCTCTCTTCACGGTCTCCGCCGTGTCTGAAGACAACGCTAGTTCCAAGAGCTCAAGCAACTTCTCATCTGAAACAACACCCACCTGTATATTCACATTTACATTACCGATTTGGTCTAATGTTATCCAATGCAAACCATAGAACAAACACAAGAACTTACTAGCTCATTTACAAGATCAACAGTGATTCGTTTTCCCATCAAACTCAGCTGATCCAACATGGTCTCAGCATCTCTAAGCGAGCCATCAGCATTCAAAGCAATCAAATTCAACGCCTGCGGTTCCACATCGAGATTTTCATCTGAAGCAATTTTCTTTAGTCTCGAAACAATGTCACCGTCTCTGAGTTTGTTGAACAGATACTTCTGGCACCTTGACTGAACAGTCCGAGGAACATTGCCAAGATCAGTCGTCACACATATGAAGACGACTTTCTGCAGAGGGTTCTCAAGAAACTTGAGCAAAGATAGCCATGTCCTAGACGGTAACAAATGACACTCATCTATCACAAAAACCTTGAATCTCGGCGAACTCTGTGGAGCTAACGCCAACAGTTTTCTCAAAAGGTACTTAACTTTCTCAGCTCCGTTCTTCTTAGAAGCATCAAGTTCCAACAAATCTCTACTCTTCCCCAGCATGAAATCACTGCACTCTTTGCAATACCCGCAAGGTTTCATTTCTTCAGTCGCCACCTCACAATTCAAAGCAGCCGAGAAAATCCTCGCTGCAGATGTCTTCCCTGTTCCTCTAGGACCTTGAAAAAGATAAACATGAGCAATTTTCCCCTTTTTCACAGCGTTCATTAGCGACTGAACAACTATACTCTGCCCAATCACTTCATCAAAGAACATTGGCTTGTACTTTTTGCTCAAACTCTGCATATTCTCCGGTGTACTTCCTTCTTCTTCCTCCTCCTCTTCCTCTTCTCCTAAACCACTCTGACTCCTACAACTAGTAGACCATCTCCTCCCATCTAATCTACTTCGAGCCTCTAAATCAATCTCACCAAAATCAGTTGAAAGATCATCATCACTACTCTCAATCCCTATAGATGACCCTCCTCCATACTTAAGCAGAGGTAAAACACCTAACGCACTTCTTGAAGCAAGTTTCTGTTTATGGTATCTCTCAGAGGAATGCCTATGTCTCCGATACACAGATTGACTCCCACCGCATAAGATGCTACTCCCAGTCTTCCTAAGAGTATCCGAAAACGAAGGCGAGCAACAGCTTCTACATCCTCCTCTATGTTTCATGTTCCTTTTCGTCCGGTAAAAAGGAATCCCACAACCTTGCCTCCCTGTAAACTCCATGTTATCATCATCATCATCATCATCACCATCATTATCCCAAGATCCAACGGTGCTGGGATTACGAATAGCGTACATGTTGTACGAGCTAGTCGACAATGCAGGCGTGCTGTTACAAGTATGAGAAGAGTCCTCTCTCTTGCTTGTAGCTCTCAAGAGCTTGGAAGAGCAAGAGCGTGACCAGTTGTTGTTCTTGAGCTTTAAAAGCAAAGGAGATGTCACTTTAGTGATCTTCTCCTCCGTTTCGTCAGATAGCTCGGCGAGGATTGGTTGATGATACCGAGATAAGAACTCCAATCGCTTACTCTTCTTCTTCTTCCTAAAATTCCTCTTTCTGGTCTTCGACAATCCCGGCGACGACGCTAGATTCGCCGCGTCTCTGCATCTGAACTTCATCGAAGCAGATCGGATTTCTCCGCCGTTCCTTGCATCGCTCACATCATCGTCGTCGTCGTCATCGTCGTTGACACTACTTTGGATCCACGAAGTTCCGTCTTTACCTTCACTCTTCTCGCTTGAGGTTTTCTGAGTCTTCCAATTGCATAAGAACACTTTCTTCTCCTTCTCCTTCCCGTTCCCGAAGCCCCGACCACTCTCCGCTCTATTCGGGATCTGCGGTGAATCCAGCTGGTTTTTACTGAGAATCTCGACGGCGGCCTTGCTCGGCGGAGGCTCCACCGTCTCCGCGACGGATCTCGATGAAGTGAGAGGGGATTTCCAAGAGGAAGTGGTTCCCGGATCGCGTAAACCCTTGGCAACTTTCCTGATTTGAGTAAGCTCCCTCTTCAGATGCAATTTGCTCGGATCCGATATCCTTAGACCCGACATTTCTATTTCCCGACGACTCTTCCGACTTCTTCCTCCACTTTGACCTCAAGTTTACAGTCGCATTTCGATCGAAATCCCCAAAATGACGAGAAAATCGAAGTCACTCCTGCTAGTGTCTTTTCTTCTCCGCCGGAGTAGCGAAGTTATTACGCCGGGAATTTTGCTGGTATTACTGAAAATTTGAAAGAAGACGAGGAAACTCTCCTGGGAGAAACTGAAGCTATGGCCTATGAGAGCGAAAGCGAGGATGAGAGAGATGGAGATAGAGATTGTTAATAAATTCAAAAAATCACGGTGATGATGATGATGATTTACTTTTTTTTTTCCAAAAGAAAAAAACATTTATAATTTGAGAAAAATTAATTCAGGACACGAAAAGAAATGTGAAAAAGTGAAAACTTGGTCGGAAGGAGCGGTGACGCTCGGGATTCTCCTTATCTTGGGGGCTCTTGTCAGACTCAGATCCCTTCCTCACTCCATTCACGCCTCTTCTCTGTCTTTCTTCTGTTTTGTTGACTTCTGCACCATTATATGTACATCCATATTATTGCTATTTTTTGTTTATTTGTACATAAACTTGCATGATCTACTGAAACCTTACATAGTAAATAAAATCTTAATTTCTTTTATCTTTTTTTTTTCTTTTAATTTTTTGTTTGATTCTGAGATAATGAAACTTTCCTTCTATATGTTTTCTTTTCCCTTAAAACATCACATATTCCTTGTATATATTTTTTGTTTTAAATCCTTGAGATATCACATTTATTAAAAAAATTGTGTGCTTAGACTTTTATTTTTGTCAAATCGTGATAACAAAAAGAAAATTTAACAAGGAAAAAGGTACAAAATACCAACATTAAGACGATAAAAAGCATTTTTATGTAGTGTCGTAGTTTCTTTAGATCGAAAAGAATATAACACTAGTACCTAAGGCCAATATTATTAGTTAATTTTACCGTTCTTGCATTGCAACGTGGTCTTTTCTCTTCAACAAATGTTATCTCAATTTGTCAACAACGATTACAGATTTCTGACATTTACAATGTGAGACCAATTATTCATTTTATATTACAAATGTTGTGATTATACGAAACATAAATCATTTCAGTCTGATCGTAAAACCACATAGACATACAATTTTTTGTTCTTGACAACGTGGTCTTTTCTGATCTACAAATATTGCTAATTATTATCTCACCTCTTAGCTGTTTTATTGTTTTGTCCGTTTGAAGTGTCGAACAAATGATGATATTATCCTCTGTGATCACGTTAACATAGACACAAATATGTATTGTAGATGCATAAGAACAAGCTCTTGGCTGCTTATAGTTTGTGTTTTTTTAATAATGCATCATATAGTCAGCATTCATACATGCAAAAACAAATTAACGGCGAAAATAATGCACATGCCACAAACTTGTCTGTTTTGACTTTTCCTCATGGCCCTCTAATTAGTTTACTGGTCTTCAAAACTAATTAGTACAAACGTTGTCCTTATCTTATTTCGTATAATATAACATGTAGTGTAGACAACCTTATTCAATACCCAAGAAGGAATTAAGACAATCGACAGATTAATGTCGTCCGATAGATCACAGCAAGTAATCAAAAGGAGGAGGGTCCAACTGTTTACTTAGAGATACTTAGATTTACAGAAATAGTTACAAAAATGAAGAACTTGCATAACTAACAACATATTACAAACAACGTTTACTTCCGTTTTTTACCAAAATGATGAAGAACAACAACTTCCAAAAATATAAAAGATTGGGCCTATTATCCAGTAAATGGGCCTAAACAACTTTCAAAACCCAACTTAATTCACTAATATATAGCTTAAACATTATTTGTTTTTGAAAAATCTTCAAGCGCGCGAGACACGAGACTTGAGAGAACGCTATATATGTCTCGAGAGATCACTGCATCTCTTGCCGGCATAGCTTCAAAAGCTCTAACACTCTCTCAGTTAAACCAAATCCACGCTCAGCTCGTCGTCTTCAACTCCCTCCATCGACAAAGCTACTGGGCTTCGCGTCTCATCACCTCCTGCACGCGCCTCCGCGCGCCGCCTGTCTACGCGCGGCTCGTCTTCAGTTCAGTGACATTCCCCAATGTCTTCCTCGTCAATTCGATGTTTAGATACTTTTCGCAGATGGAATTGGGGAACGATGCTCTTCGTCTCTACGAACAAAGGTCGCGTTGCGGGATCATGCCTGACGCTTTTTCTCTCCCTGTGGTGATCAAATCGGCTGGAAAGTTCAGTGTGTTGTTTCACGCTCTTGTAGAGAAATTAGGATTTGTTAAGGACCCGTATGTACGGAACGTGATGATGGATATGTACGCGAAGCATGAGTCAGTGGAGAGCGCACGCAAAGTGTTCGATCAAATTACTCAGAGAATTTGTTCTGATTGGAATGTGATGATTTCTGGGTATTGGAAATGGGGAAACAAGGAGGAAGCTTGCAAGCTGTTTGATACAATGCCGCAGGAGAAAACTGACGTGGTTTCTTGGACGGTTATGATTACTGGTTTTGCGAAGATTAAAGATTTGGAGAATGCAAGGAGGTGTTTTGATCTGATGCCGGAGAAGAGCATTGTTTCTTGGAACGCTATGCTTTCAGGTTACGCGAAGAACGGGTTTACAGAGGAAGCTCTGAGGTTGTTTAGCGATATGATAAGAGTTGGAGTAAGGCCAAATGAGACCACCTGGGTCACTGTTATCTCCGCTTGTTCTTCCCGTGGTGATCTTTCCCTCGCTCATACGCTAGTGAGAGTTATTGATGATCAGAGAGTCCGTTTGAATTGCTTTGTGAAGACGGCGTTGCTTGACATGCATGCCAAGTGCAGAGACATCCCATCCGCGAGGAGGATTTTCAACGAGTTAGGTACGCAGAGGAGTCTTGTTTCTTGGAACGCAATGATTTCAGGGTATAGTAGAGTTGGTGATATGTATTTAGCGAGGCAGCTTTTTTATACAATGCCTGAGCGGAACGTTGTTTCTTGGAACACGATGATATCCGGGTTTGTTCATAACGGAGAACCTGAAACAGCTATTGAGTTTCTTGAAGAGATGATTGATTCTGGAGAAGCAGAACCGGATGAAGTAACAATGATTAGTGCTCTCTCAGCATGTGGATACATGGGTGATCTTGAATGGGGTGATTGGGTTGTAAGTTACATTGTCAAGAGCCAGATCAAGCTTAATGCTTCGGGATACAGCTGTTTGATCTTTATGTATGTAAGGTGTGGAAACCTGAGGGAAGCGAAACGAGTGTTTGATGAAATGAAGGAAAGAGATGTTGTCTCTTATAACACATTATTCTCAGCTTTTGCAGCTAATGGAGATGGGGTTGCAACACTGAATCTATTATCGAAGATGAAAGGAGAAGGCATTGAGCCAGACCATGTGACTTACGCTACTGTGTTGACGGCTTGCAAACGTGCAGGATTACTTGAAGAAGGCCAGAGAATATTCGAATCAATAAGAAATCCTTCAGTAGATCACTATGCTTGTATGGATGATTTGTTGGTATGAGGTCGTGAGCAAAGAGATTAATTTAGAAATGCCAATGGATGCACCCTTTCTAATGCCTTTCTTTCGTGAGTTTTATCTATTTTTAATTCAGTATAAAAGTTTAAACCTTTGTCCTTAAAACGTCTACTAGATGGGCAAATATCATAGATAAATCATACTCTTTTACAATAAAGATTATTATAGTCCATTTGACATAGATGGGCAAATATGAAATACAGAAAGAAAAGTCTTCCATGAAAAGAACGTTCAATGGTTCTTGCTTCGAATCTTCCTGGTAAAACACCAAACTTAATATATTTATTTTTATTTTTAGTCCAAACTGGTTTTTGCTCCGAAGGTCGACACTTTCCTTTGTTGTAAGAGTGTATATAATCTGAATTGTAGGTAACAAGGCCACAATAGAAACCAACATTTGCAGAAAATAAAATTTCCCATCCCAAAAGAAAGAAATAAAACTTGTTCTTGTTTGCTCCTAAAGTTTCCTCGCTCAAATTTGTTATTTTTTTCAGAGTTCTATCTTAAAACTGTCTTGATTTCTGACTTTCCGCCTAATTTTTTTTCTTTCTATGGATCCAAGACTTCAACAAGCTGCTGAATCTGGAAGCATTGATGAGCTGTATGCTCTTATTGATGAGAATCCATTCATACTTGAGAACATCGATGCTGTGCCATTTTTCAACACTCCCCTCCACGTTGCTGCAGCTTCCGGGAACCTACAATTTGCCATGGAGATGCAGAATCTTAAGCCCTCTTTTGCTAAAAAGCTCAACACAAGCGGGCACAGTCCATTGCATCTCGCTGTGGACAAGAATCAACATGACTTTATCTTCTGGATGCTCTGGCTTGATGACGGCCTTGCTCGCGTTAAAGAGAGAAATGGTATAACACCGTTCCTTTTCCTAGTGTTAAGAGGAAACACAGATCTAGTGGCAGAGTGCCTCCTTGCATCCCCTGAATGTATCCAAGATAGAAGCGTGAATGGCCAAAATGCTCTGCATCTTGCTGTGATGAACGATAGATTTGAAGTTCTCCAAGTCCTCACCGGATGGATCCAGAAAATGAGCCAAAGAAACGCTCACGCTATCGAGCATGGTTTTCTGAACAAAATAGATCTTACCAAAAACACGGCTTTGCACCTTGCAGCCTATAAGAATGATCATCAGGCATGTTTTACTTTCTTCAATTCTTTTTTTTTTTTATTCTATAATAATAGCTCTACCATGTGAAGTAGATGAGCTCCATCTCAAAATTCAATGACAATAAATCGACTGAACTATGGGAGATTCCTAATAGAATCTTTATACATAAAGATTATTTTCCGATATGAGTTTCCTTTCCTAATATGATGATCTAATTTGTGTAGGCGGTTAGACTGTTACTAGAATGTAGGTTGGTGGAGCGGAACGAAGTAAATGGTGATGGTTTAACATTTCTTGATATCTTGAGAAACCAGGGACAGAGAGCCGTAGGTGGGGATTTGGATTTGGATTTGGAGCAGGTTGTTCTAAAGACCGGGTGTAAAGAGGCGGCTTCGTTGCCAAAACCTTCAGTACCAAAATCCAAGGCAAGGTCTGAGTTCTTGAAATCACCGATCACTTTCTGGGCGTACTACTCCACGAAGATGAGACGCCTAAGGTCTAGCAGTTCAGGCGAAGCGCGTGGAGCTGTCCTGATTGTATGCACTTTGATAATAACAACCACTTATCAGACTGCTCTCCAGCCTCCAGGTGGTGTACACCAATCCAATGATGGCAATGCTGGTTCCGTGGTGATGAAGCAAGCGTTCTTCATCTTTCTCTGGGTTACCAACACCGTAGGTGGTGAAACAAACTATTCTTTGAACTCGATCTAGTTTTTGTTAATTTGGCTTTCAAACATGTGTATATGCAATTGTCTGTCTAAAAGAGAGTTTGGAGAAAACATGTGTATAAAAGAGAGTTTGGAGAAAACATGAAGCTGTCTTATGAAACATTAGTTTAATCTGCGACTCATGTAATTAACTAATTATAGGTCAACGGCCTCAGGAGATCCAATAAACAATGCAATAAGGTTATAATAATGAGAAAAAAGAACAATCATTCCAGAATACAATATTGAAAAGACACTTGTTTGGATAGAAGATCAAATTACTGTGAAATTTGAAACGGAAGAGTGAGTGAGATTTTGAGAGCATGAGAGGAGTGAGTTAATTCTGAATTTCTGATACAAATTTGAAAAATCTAACAAAGATTAAGAAGAAAAAAAGGCAAACGATTAATTCTTGATGATGATGAAAAAGCAGAGAGACCCCATTGGTTAGTAAGGCGGTGGAGCTCTGGCGGTGGGGGCCCAAAGAACATCAGAGCCACCCATGTGGCAGCTGTACATAGACTCTCCACCGCCTCCAGAAACCGGCGGCGATTGGCCTTCCTCTTCCTTCGACTCCGCCGAAGCCGCCGGTAACCGGTGATACGAAGGGTTGTTAAAACTGGCGGCGACGACGTAGACTGTTCCGGCGGAAACGAGCGGACCGGCGACGAATCCGCCGATGATCTGTCCCTGAGGTCCGGCGAGCGAGACAGTGAAGAAATTGGAGACGGGGGGAGGGAGGAAAGCGGCGGAGACGGAGAGGAGATCGAACTTCCCGTGGAAAGTGATGGTTGAGCCAGGAGCTGCCGGGGAAGGCTGACGCAAGGTGACGTTGGCGACAGAGCCGGAGCCGGAGAGGACGCAGACGCCGATTCCTTTTCGGCGGCAGAAGCGGTTGATGGCTTCGACGACGTCGTTTCCGGATGGGACTTGGAGGATGTAAGGGCTCATCATGGAAGAAGGCTCCTGAGTGAGCAGGACAGGTGGTTTGGGTTTGTTTTTGGAGCCTGGAGGTCTGCCACGTGGACGCCGGACGGATGATTCCATGGAGGCGGCGGCGGAGGAGGAGAGAGGGTGTTGTTGTTGTTGTTGGTGAGGGAGCTTTGACAACATCTCGTTTTACCTTAAGGATGGTAAAATGATAAAGTTAAAAGAGGAAGAGGATGCAGAGTTTTGTATGATGGGTCATGTAGAAAAGAAAAGTCGTAATCTTTTTGGGAAGTGTGGTATTGTTTAATTATAAAATGACAAAAGAGTTTCGCTTTTTTATTTATTTATTTTTCTCTCTGTCTATGAAATTATACCCAAAAAGGAGTAGTATAGGAGAATGAAATGAGAGGATAGGGAAGAAGGGAAGATGAGTTTGAAAGCAAGAAACTTTTTAGGACCCACACTCTCTCTTGTGTTTTCTAGAGCCAAAACAAGATAAAGATGTGAGCGTGATGGATGATAAATTTTGAAGTTTTTCAAGTCCTGACCAAACGGATTGGTACAGAGAATGAGCCAAAGAAATGCTCTTTTTCTACTGAGTTTGATTTTTTTAATGGTTATAATGTTCCATGTTGTAAATTATGTGGTTTCTTGGGTAATTTCACTTTCTTTCTTGTTTTGATTACATTTGTTTGCTGGTTCTTGCTTTGAAGCTTCTGAATTTAGAGATCACAAACGTTTTTTTTTAATTCAAAAATTTCTGTCAAAACCTCTCTCTTTCTCTCTCATGGTTCCAAGACTACAACATGTTACAGTAACCAGAAGCATCAATGACTTTTTATGCTCTGACTGATGAGAATTTTTGCATTTTGAATGTAATGTTCCTAAGGTTAGCTTAGCAACCAACATCATAAAATTGGGATACCAGGAAGAAGAAACTAGTAGATATAGACTAGAGAGTGCTTAAAAGACAGAATTATCTCAGAAACACAAGACAAATTAGTCATAGCATCTTAACATTAACAACAAAATCAACCAAAAAAAGGAAAAAAAAAAAGACATTTAAGACTACACAATCAAAAGCCTTTTGCTTTCTTCTTCTCACATCTGAACCCTTGCTCTGTCTTTTTTGTTCATCTGTGAAAACACTTTTTTTCCTCTTTCACAGTCCCTAACTGTTATTATCATCACCTTTTCAAGCTTTGAGTTTCTTGTTGGTGCTGCAAGTCGGGCACTTGTAATGTTTGATGCTCTCAGCCTTTGCAGGTGTGATCTTCACGCACTTTCCATGGAACCATTTCTCACACGCATCGCAACATATCCAGAACTCATCTCCTCCGTAATTGTCTCCACACGCACCACAGACAGCACCTTGTTCGTCATCTTCATCCTCATCTCCGCTCTCATCTTCTTCTCTTGGTGGTATAGACACCTTTAACGCCTTAGTGTGAGATTCAGAATGACGAGGCTGAATGAGAAATCACAAACGAGTAAACATAGAATAAGAACCCAATAGAGATAGAAAGACTGAGATGGAAAAAGACTAAAAGAGAGAGTAGAAAACAGAGGCTTCACCTTTCCACTGCTAGATTTGCTTTTGCTACTGTTGTGGATTGCAGACTGATCCTTGGATTGCTTTGCGTTTCCAGTTATGACCTCGAAAATGGTTGGGAGGTCATTTATCATCTGGAACAGCCTCTTCCTGAGACAAATTTAACAAGCTCAGAGGCAAGACAACTACAAACTGTTTAACTGTACAATATCAGAAAACAAACACTGCTCTTTAACTATACAACAAACTCAAATCTAAGAGGAACACTAGATATTTCCACATGAACTTTGAATTTAATATATATATCTCAATGCAACTGATTCAGCTAGGTGTTATTCACAACTTGTGGGTTAGAGATAGTAAATGACGATCACTTCTTTAGAGATTCTTTCACAAAGACGAGAGAGTGTTACAGAGATTGTTACTATCACACCAACAAACAATTATGCCAATGATACTATGCCAGAACATTTCAGCTACCATAATGGTCAATGCAGCTTTAACAAACATGTGTACCAGAACATAGAACAGCGAGCAGAGAAGGGATCTTACCTCTCGTTTTTACCAAACCCGAAACGTGCACCAAAGTAGAATGCGACAGAGATGAGCCATGAATCACTGTGAACTGCAACCAAAGAGATCCAGTCTTTCTCAACCATCCCGTCCCTTGCAAAGTTGATGCCTAAAGCCGGTTCAGGAAGCTCCGGAGGGACCTCCTCGACTGGAAGATTAACCTCCCATGTCTCATTTGGAAGTCCATAGAGGCACAAGTTCTCCTTCTCTGCATACAAGTAAGAAAACGAAATCTCTAAGCTTAACTACACAGAGAACTAACTTCATCTTAGTAGCAAACATGTAGAAACTCAGAAACACTTAACAGTCTCCAATCTGTTCAAAACTCAGGAAACCAAAACAAAAAACATTCAGAGAAGCAACAACTCTGAGGATGAAGATAATCAATGATGAAACTAGAGCCAGAGGGAACAAAAATCAAGGTCTAATCAGGAAATGATAATCACAGTAATCCAATAGTAACGGAAACATCTAAAACATGGAAACAAAAGATCAATGAACAAACTCAGACCATTATAAACTCAGACAAACAAAAGATCAAAGATCACTGAAGCCAAAAAAATTGCATTTCACATTACAAACTCTTCCCTAATTGAGACCCGAACGGGATTCTTGCACTGAATACATAGAATCTTCAAGTAGAGATCAACCAGAGAAGAATCAATGCGCTACAAAGTTAGACAAGATGGTGACGTAATAACTCACCAGGGTCACACTGATGGTAAAACTTCTGTACATCTGCAAGAAAGAAAAAAAACAGAGCAAAACATGAATAAACCCAGAATCGTCAAATCCCAGTAAAAGAAAAATCAATAACAGGAAGAAGCCAAAATTGTTGGTTTTTCTCAGGAAATGAAGAAAACCCAATTGAACAAACGAGCATAGATATAGAAACTCGCAAATCTATTATCTGAGAAAGAAAAAAATTAGCTTGAGATTCGAACAAAAGAAACAAAGATTCTAGAGAGAGAGATCGAGCTTACCTGTAGAGAGAGCCTTGATGAGACCAGCTCTTCGACCCCTGAAGTCGCTAAACACCTCTTCGACAGTGCGAGCTATAGGATTCTGAATTCCCTCCATCTGCTTCAACCGAAGACTTCACAGACGAATCACGCCGGAGAATGAATGAATTAACCCTCAGAAACGCCGGCGGTGATGGCTATTCCGGGAATCGAATTCCGGGGAGAATGCGTCTAAGTAACGAGATGCAGCAAGAGAAGCAAAAAAAAAAGCCAAAGATCGGCCTTTTCTTTTTCCTTTCAGATAAAAATTGGTTACTTGGGTTTCGTATCTGGGGAGCTAAAATCTATAATCAATCTTTCAGAGGAATTTATTTGGGAAATTTGAGAAAGAAAGAGAATTTGAGAGCAGAAGCTAAAAAAACCCTAAAAACGAAAAGGAAAGGAGACAAAAGACAATTTGAGGCTGGGAAGCATGGATCAGATAATAGCGACAAACATTTATTTATTGTTTTATTTTATTTTGTTTTTGACACGTATTTATTTTCATAGTATTAAAATTATTTAAGATTCTTTTGTTTCTCTCTTTCATACAGTATCTTGTAGACTCTCGATGAAGAGAGAATTACAATAGAAGGCACTTTGGCACTTTATAATATCACTCCAAGACACTTTCGATTATAGAGTGACTTTGCCCCCAAAACTGATAGCGAAAATTCCAACATACCCTTCCTTTAAAATTTGCTTCATTCTTCCTTTTACGATTGATATTTTTTACTACGGTCGCTGCAGTAACTTTGTGTTTTGTGCCGCCGACGACGAACTGAACGGAAGAATAATTGTGAATCTGGGAGAGATTTCTCTTTATACAATTGAAGTAAAGTAAATTACGAGATTTCATTGTCCAATTATGTACCGATAATCGATTTGGAAGATTTCGTCGGAAATTTTTCTGCTGGCAATTGGATCTGGAAAATATTCAGTTTCGTTGAAGTTTGGAGAAGATGAATCTGGGTTAACTCGCGATCATGTCCACATGTACATGTCCATGCAATCGTGTACACGTCGTGATGCACCCATCTCAAGTTTATTTTGATAATTAAATTTTTAGAGTTTGAATGAGATGTGTGGGAGGACATGTTTCCGTGTACAAGATTTTGTGAACACAAAGATAATTAACAACTGAGTCAGTGTTTGTTGAGTTATTGTTTATCGCCTAGACTATTCCATATAACTGCATCCATATACTTGTGTCCATACTTCGTATTCAGATGGATATATAATACCAATGTTCATATCAATGTGTAAACATGGTTCCGAGATTGGTTCTCAGTCTATCCAAAATTCAACATACATGATATTGTGGATATGAATTCGTGGACAAGATAACATATACATATTTACCTCTCTCATTATCTTGGTCTTTCTAGCGAATTTCTTATACCTCATATGGACATAAAATTATGGATACAATCAAGAACAACAAATTATGGACACAATCTTCTTTCATCAACATATATGTTTTATTGAATGCACAAATGCGTCATGTTTAACTATATATCCATATGGATATGAAGTATGGACACAAGCATATGGATACAGTTCTATGAAACAGTTTAGTTGATAAACAACTCAACAAACACTCATTCAATTGTTAATTATCTTTGTGTTCACAGATCATGTACACGTAAACATGTCCACATATACATCTTATATAAATTATCAAAATTTAATTAACCAAACAAAGACGTCCAGATGAGCGCATCACTAAATATGTATATGTTATTCTGTCCACGATTGCGATTATATGTGGACATATAGATGTGGACATGATTGCGAGTTAATCCAGATTCATCTTCTCCAAACTCTGATCGAGACTGAAAATTTCTCAGATCCAAGAGCCAGAAGAATTTATTCCACGAATTCGACGGTGAAATCTTTCAAATCGATTATCAATACAGAACTCGACGATGGAATGAGAGGCGAAATCTAGAATAAGGACGGAAAAAGAAACAGCGGCGATGATGAACGACAGAGTGTGAGGCGGAGTTGTTGATTTCCAGTGAAAGGTAAAAATAAGAAATAAAGAGTAAAGTAAAAGACAAAGTTGTAATTAAAGAAAAAAAGAAATGAGTGTTTAGTTTTTACAATGCCCCAAAGTCCCTTAGGAGTAGAAAGTGCCTATAAATGTAAAAAAAAAGACAAAAGTGCCTATAGATGTAACTCACTCCTCGATGAATACTGTATAAAAGTCGTTTTCTATTTTTCCTTTTTGGGTCAATGTATATCATGTTTTCTCTGTTGAGGCAGACTGAAGTACTAGTTCAGTAATTTTCTGCCACTTTTACTGTAATCAACTTACTTTAAATAATAAAATATAAATATAATCCACGAGTTTTTCAAAAATGGATTAAGTCAAGTATTTATTAAAATAAGTACGTATATATAACTGTATAATCGTTGTTCAAAAAAAAAATACTCGTATATAACTGTATAGTTTTACTTTGAAGTATTTTAAACTAATTACAATGGATTATAAGGAAACAATGAAGTTCATCAATCAACTTTCTACTAATAATTAAAACCAAAAAAAACAAAAAAACTTTCTACTAATAAAAAAACGGTTGGAAAAAGTTTTATTGATTTTTTTCTATTACGAAATTTCAATCAAACTAATTGAGTGTTTCACATTTGAGATCAAACTTGAGTGAGATGAGATTGCGATTTTTCAAACTTTTTATATGAAATCTTACTATATAAAGCTGGATGCGCACGACGTGGTTGCGACACGTAGGATTTTTATAAAATTTAGGATTGCGACATGTGTCACTTTTAATGTTATGTCCGTTAAGATCGTGACATGTGTCTTAGAAAAAAAAAAAATAATAATTAAAAAAATTAGATAAAGGAAAAAAAAAGAAATTTTAATCTTTTATAGTTAAAAGAAAAAAAAATTATATTTGTCATATCCTAATAGAAAAAGGTTTCTCATTCATCAAATTTATATTATCCAAACACATATAAGATTCAAATTAATGAAATAAATAAAATCCTATTAGTACATGAAATAGGTTAGGTTTAGTTAATCTTTTATAGTTAAAAGAAAAAAAAATTATATTTGTCATATCCTAATAGAAAAAGGTTTCTCATTCATCAAATTTATATTATCCAAACACATATAAGATTCAAATTAATGAAATAAATAAAATCCTATTAGTACATGAAATAGGTTAGGTAAACTAAATTTCCTATAACTGCATGGAATAAGTTACATGAACCCCTATAAAAAGAGAGTTAAAGTAGTCTTTTTTTCTCATTCACAAACTCATCAAAGCAAACAACATGATAGCAATACGTATGATTTTTATAACTCACAAAATTGCGATATGTGTAATAAAATAATGATAATAAAAAAAACTAACTAATAATGAAAATGAAAATTTATAATGGTCTGAGTCAAAAACAAAATTGAGAAAGAAACAATATAAATAGAAAACTAACAAATTAATTATCAAGCAACTAACTAATATTAAGAAAATATAATGAACCGATATTCTAATTTTAAATAGTTTAATATATTTTCAATATTGTTAGGTAAAAAATTATTAAATAAAGATTTCATCAATTGAAATCTCTTGAATGGAATAATAAAGTTTTGTTGAATTAATTAATCAGTTGATCATATTTAGACATATATAAGTCTTTCTATATTGGATAAAAATAAAAATAAAACAAATTAATTCATTTTTTATATCATGAATTCAAAAAAAATATCAATTACAATAAAAACGTAAAAAGGTTACCGATCTTATTTTATTTAAATATTTTTATCGGGTTTTTAATATTATTCTGTTTACTTTAAAATGATCAAATTTGGTTTAATACTTTTCCATGATTTTATTACAAAATCTTAAAATAAACCCGCGTATACGCGGGTCTTAATCTAGTTTTATATAAAACCTGTTGTTGTTTTTTTTATCAGATTAAGTTAGATGCTTTTGGGTATTGGTGTTATTTTTCTTTGATTGATGTTTCTGTTAGTTTTCATGTTAATATTAAAATCCAACTCCAGATAGCACTAATAAACTTTTTTTTTTTTTTATAAAATACTAATAAACTTATGAGCTCTAAACTTATTTGGTAGGCAAAAGAGAAATCCATGTGATATCTTGGACGATACCTTTCCTTTTCCTTTGAAGGTTAGAATATGCGGCTAAGTATGTAATCTAAGAATATAAAATGAGGCATCGATGCTTCAGTCACCAAAATTAAAAGAAGTTGTCACAGTTGGAGATACTTGACGTGTACCACAAGTCACCGGATATTTTGTGACCAAAAGAATGATAAAATAAAACCTAAAGTTAAAACATTTTCGATCTTCATGACAAAAGTTTCCCATTTCTGTCTAAGAATCCAGTTGCCCGTTCGCGCTAACATGTAGAATCATCAGAAATCACATGGGAAGTAATTTTTATACCAAAGATTATTGCTCTCTTGCATATTGTGCCACAGGTCAAGAGAAAGAAAGACTTCTTGGCTTTATTTTATTATCTCGGTTTATATGTCCACGTTCCACCATTTAGTTTTGGATCTTAATCGGGTAGGGTTCGTAAGAATGCGATAGATTTCGGGGATCACTTAGCACAGAGGGCTTTAGTTTATGGGGAAATGTATGATCTGTTTCCTAATTTAGCATAGTTGATCGACGAATTGAAAGGTGTTCATATTAGAATGATCATAGAAGATGGTAGAAAGTACAATATTTGTTCGGAAAACCTGGAATCAGTTCTCATATTTTCTCCAACAATTCTGCAGGCTTTTATAAGAAGTTGGACAGAAATTGTAAGAGAGAAAAGGATTCATTATCAAAAGAGGAAGTTGATGCGTAGCAGCTATGGCTGAGGAAAAATTGGAATACCAGAACCTCCAGTTCCATATTCCATATGAGGGAATCCATTGTGACGCTTACAGTTAAGCATCTTCCTTTTATATCTAACTGAGCTTTTGTTGTTTATGGTTGATCGCAATTGTGATTTGAGTGGATTTTCTTGATGATTTGATTTGCATTTGCAATGTTCAAAGATAAGAAACTGAAGCAGGGTTTTGGTGTCAATCATCGGT